TATAATTTTCCTTTCTTATGTTGTCCTTTTCTCTAGTTTCAACTGCTTTTTGGTTTTTTTTTTTTTTTTTTTTTGAGACAGAGTCTCGCTTTGTTGCCTAGGCTAGAGTGAGTGCCGTGGCTGCAGCCTAGCTCACAGCAACCTCAAACTCCTGGGCTCAAGTGATCCTTCTGTCTCAGCCTCCCAAGTAGCTGGGACTACAGGCATGCACCACCACGCCCAGCTAATTTTTTCTATATATATTAGTTGGCCAATTAGTTTCTTTCTATTTATAGTAGAGACGGGGTCTCGCTCGCTCTTGCTCAGGCTGGTTTCGAACTCCTGACCTCGAGCAATCCGCCCGCCTCGGCCTCCCAGAGAGCTAGGATTACAGGCGTGAGCCACCGCGCCCGGCCTGCTTTTTGGTTTTGACGAATTTAGGTCCCACATTAGAAATGAACTTTCCTGGCTGGGTGCGGTGGCTCACGCCTGAAATCTTAATACTCTGGTAGGCCGAGGTGGGAGTATTGCTTGAGCTCAGGAGTTTGAGACTAGCCTAAGCAAGAGTGAGACCTCGTCTCTACTAAAACTACAGAGAAATTAGCCAAACAACTAAAAATAGAAAAAATTAGCCGGGCATGGTGGTGTGTGCCTGTAGTCCCAGCTACCTGGGAGGCAGGAGGACTGCTGAGCCCAGTAGTTTGAGGTTGCTGTGAGCTAGGCTGATGCCACAGCACTGTAGCCCAGGCAAGAGAATGAGCTCTGTCTCAAAATAGAAAAAAAAAAAGAAAAGAAAAAAGAAATGAGCTTTCCTTCCTGGAAGGTGAGGAGAATTTTCAAAATCAAGGGGCCACAGCTGTGTTCTGGGACTCTGGGGACTTTCTTAGGGTTTTTCTGGGCTGAGTGGGAGTAAACCAGAAACATTCTAAAGGATGCACCACTTCTCACTTCCTCCTCTTCCCCTCTGAAGGAGAACTTTGAAATACTTTCCAGAAGGAAAAGTTAAGCAGTACCAGAGTGTGTAGGTCATCTAGGTTCTAAGAATTAGCAGAATTTTCTGCACCCAGTACTGTTGGCTGCAGCTAGCAGGGCCTGGCAATGTACACTGATGACTGTGCAGGCCTCACAAGTGGGCAGTGTGGGGAGCAAGGAGCCCCTACCCACACTGTGAGGCCAGTCTTTGCATGGCGCTGCCACCCAGGCTGTAGATTCTGGTGGGTGGCCCTGCCTAGACTCCTGGGCACATGCTTCTGGTCTCCCTATGTTCTCCACAGCTTTAGGAGAAACTTTTCCAACACTGGCTACTCTTTCCTTCTTTGCACAGGTTGGGCAATCATTATATTAATACTTGCCCCTTCTGGAGCTGTTTATTCCTGGAGCTGGGAACTGCCCCTGAGGAAAGGCCTTCAAAACTGAACTGAGCTGAACTAGATAAACACAAATACTGGCAGAGCCTCCAGTTACCTTGGTTTTAAAAATTAGCGGTGACTGCATAATTCTCTTGACTTGTAGGCCTCAGGTTCCTTCATCCATAATATAAAAGAACTTCTAGAGATTCTAAATAACCTCCAAGATTCATGCTGGCTTAAAAAAAATGCTGCCATAATTTTGTGGTGTTTCTCTGACTTTGTAACTATTTCCTAATCAGAAACACATGGATGCTGTTAAAACTCTTTAAAAACCTGAGGACCTTGGAGTCATAGAAACCTGGGTTTATCTCTCAGCTCCTCTACTTACTGTCTGTGTGACCTTGGGAAAGTTGCCTAGCCTCTCTGTGAAATAGGAATAATGCACTTTACCTCACAAATTATGGTGTGGATAAAGTGAGATATACCTACATAAAGCGCCTAGCTAGCATCATGTCTTGCTTGACAGTAAGTGCCAAGAATGACTTCCCTTTTCTCCATCCCTCAAGTGACTATGTGTGGAAAAACTGGACAAAAGAAAACTGTACAAACTCCAGATTGTTTGGTTGGCACTCCAGGGGTTTGCCTGCCTCCCACCTTTTCCCCAGGACCTATGCCTGCCTGCTTCTCAGCTTTTTAGACTTTCTATCTCTGCTAGTCTCCACCTAGGGATGGAATCCTCAGGCGGTCCCAGCGTGTGCAGACATCACAAGCCGCCGCAGAGAGGGAAAGACAAGACTAAAAGATGCAACACACCCAGAGAGCCTACCCTTGGGGAGAGACCCGCCTGGGGTCTTGAGCTTACCGGCTGGGAGCTCCTTTTGTAAGGACCGGACGACTTCCCCAGCAGAGAAGGCGCTAGTCGGGAGCCTCCGTGGCGCCGCGGGGACCCGCAGCGGCGCGATTGAAGTCACAAAAGCTGCCGGCGCTGGAGAGCAGCGGTGCGGCCCGCGCGGCCTGCCGCCGGCCCCCTGCCGCTGCCGAGGAGGCAGATGCCGCCACTGCCGGGCCATTTTGTCTTCCCCTCCCTTCCCCCAGTGGGCCACTTTTTTTTTTTTTTTCCTCTTTAAAACACCTGCCTGAAGAATCTCTTCATTCAGATTTCTCCACTTGGGGTGTGTGTGAGGCATTTTTTTTTTTTAAGTCTCTCTTTCCTCTTGACCTGGCTCTCTTCTCCTGGGCACCCTGAGAGCACTCCGGGATGTCAAACCCTCTTTTGTAGCTGTTAGCAACCTAGGCAGACAGAGCCTGGGGGAGAGGGGTGGTCAGTCAGACCTGGAGCCTCACCATCCCCGGCTTTGTGACCAAGCACATGGTACTTAACTTCTGTGTGCCTCAATTGTCTCAGCTGACAAATGGGAATAACAAGGGTTTCTTCTTTACAGGATTGTTATAAACGTTAAATGAGACACTTTATAGTCATCACCTCTAGAAAGCCCTCTCTGACCCCTCCCTATTGCTCCGGCGGCAGCCACGATCAGTGGATAGGTGGAAAGGAAAGTTTTGTAACTAAAACAAGAACAATTTCTCAAACCCCCTTTCATTTGGAGGTTGCTCATTTGGCCTGTCTGGTGAAAACTTGTATGCAGTATTCTCGCCAAGTCCAAGACTCATGGTATTGTCACTGGAGGTGGCACTGGCTTACTGCTTATAATTAACCATGAAGATCATGACTTCAGAGTAGGGCAAAAATCCTGACAATTAGCCTCAAGACCTATGGGAGAGGATGATGGGGAAATTGATCCTTAAATAGTTAAAAAAAAATGCCTTAGCACTTCTTCCTTTTTTTTCCTTCAAAGACTTGATATCCTTTTTTAAACATTAGCATTTATCATTCAGGACAGGCAAATACCTTCTTTAATTTTCTGCAGTGATATTTCATTGCATTAAAGATGGTCTGAATAACCTTTATGGAACTCAGCTGGAGCTTGCCTTTCTGTCATGAGACAGAAAATCTGTTTTGACTGACTTGGTTTTTGCTTAGATTTGGCCACGTTCTGTATGGCCTAAAACCTCCATTGCACTTGGCCAAGACATTGGAACCCTGTCAGTGTTCACATTCTGCATATGTGATTTATGATATGGAAGATCTGAAGGTTGGAGCATGTTTCTTTGGCTAGTGTCACTCAGCTTTGAAAACAGAGGTGGCAAGAGCCTCATGTTAGCAGAAACCCTGCTTAAAAACTTGACCAAACCCAGGGATCAGGCTACCATAATACAGTACGGTCTGATATCAAAAAACGGTGAGGTCTTTTAAAATTGGTATGAAAATTATTTTTGACTAGGATGTCAACTGAAAGAAATGATAAAAGATTTAAACAGAAAAAAATGAGGGTGATATCCAAAATCTTTGACTTTGCATATTTATCTTGTGTTCACCCCAAGGGGTCCAGAGGAGATAGGAGGAGTCTTAGTGTCATTTCCCAGATTGCTAAACAGTGACCACAAGAAGGTAGATATTTATTTGCTGTGATATCCAAGTCGAGATTCATATTCACTAAAAGGCTGCTTTACATGAATTACTTCATCTGTTCCTCATGCGACCTTATGAGAGGTTGCTGTTTTCAGATGAGAACACTGAGCCACAGAGGGAAGGCAGAGGTAGTCCAACTCCAGAGCCCGTGCTCTCAACTCAGCAGCTCAGCCCTGCAGCTGCTAGCCTGCATGGAGCACCTTTATGTGAATTAGAAAAAGGTGCCCCAGTAGAAGGGCCAAGTAGGAAAAGGAGCCCCTCTGGGCGGCTGCAGCCCAGTGCAGGGGTGCATGGCTTAGGCAGCAGAGCATAGGCTGGATTTCAGCCCCCTCATTCTCCCTCTGCTGGATACCTTTGTATAGCAAACAATAAGCACAATCCTCCTGTCTGGCCCTGCATCCACTCCTTGACTGTGCAAGTGTCTCTCACACATCTGTTTCCACTCATGCAAGAAGCAATGAGGAAGCTGCTCCGACACTGGGCCTAGCCCAGCTGCAGCATCACATAGTATACCCAGGTGCCCCAGAAAAGAGCTTAGAGTCTAGTTCCGGGCCTGGAGATATGAACAATTCCAAGGAGCTCAGTGGTCCTGGGCTCAATATTTCCTAGAAGCACTACCACCACCATGGTCATCATCAAATGCAGCATCATTTTTGGAGGAAGCCACAATCAAGTAGCTCTGGTCGCACAGAGCTATAGGTGACAGGGGCTGGGTTTTTAAGGATAATAAGTCTCTTCTCTCTTGGAATGTTATCTCTGTAGGCAGGGGACCTCAGCCTGCACACCTGTATATCCAAGCCCCCCATGAACGTGGGAGAAACAAAGATGGAGGTGCCTGTGGGGCCTTTTTGTAATGTCCCCAAAGTCTCCACTCTTTTATATCAATCTGCAGCCTCTAGCAGGAGAGAAATCTTTCAATAAGTCCAAGGACATAAAGCATTTTATTATCGCTTGGCTGGTAATGCAGCAAGCTGTTGCATCAACACATTGGAGTCTGAACTCAGCACTTTGGTTTGTGTTCTGACTTTCAACCCATGGCCCGAAGGAAATGGAAGGGTCATTCCCCATTAATAGCTTTTAACAGTGCTTTTAGGTTTTTCCAACAAGTTTAAGAGTATGGAACCCAACCCAGCTGTCTCTACCTTGGCTGTCTTGATGACTTTCTCTGGGGGCTTTGCCTGGTTCTTCATGATAGTCCAGTGCATCTCCGCTGTCCTATTGGGTTAACACACAACAAAGCCTACATAAGACAAAATAAATGCAAACACTCCTGTGGGCCATGCCCTTCAGTAAAAGAGAATCCAGTTTTCTTAGTGGTTTCTTTTCCTTCTTTGTCACCTTGTTTCAACTTAAGTGTCTACCACACTGCTGGTGTGAACAGGCTTAAAAAGCAAGGAAGGCTTTGCAGCAGCTTTAAACGTTGTTAGGTTCTTAGTTGTACTTATTTTGATGGGTCTTGTCCCATTCATTTGGGAAGTGCTTGATGCCTGGCATATATAGGAGTTCACTGTGGGGAAATGTCAGAGACAAAGGGCAACTGGCAGAAGGGAGCAGGGCACCTCCAGGGGTTGAGGGAGGACTGGCATGACTACAGCAGAGACTGAGGGAAGTGCACAGGGTGTGGAGGAGTCAGATCCCAAAGGCCTTGAAGGCAGGTTAAAGACTTTGGTCTTTATCTTGAGGACAAATGCAAGGCATTAAGGATTTAAAGCAGGGAAGCCAAAGGGTCAGCCTGGCCTTTTGTGGAGTGCCCAGGATTGCTCAGGATTACCACGGATTGGGTTTTCATCATATTTGATCCCTCTTCCTTCTTTCCCTGAGTCATATAAGCTGTTTGCAGTCCCACCACCCAGAAGTCTCCATAACAGTGGTTTCAGCTCTGGCTACACATTAGAATTATTTGAGGAGTTTTTAAAAAATATGATTCCCAGGACCTAAGCCCAAACAATAAAACCAGACACTTGAGAGCTGGGACATTTTTAAGGCCTCTAGAGTGATTCCAATATGCAGCCAGGACTGAGAATCACTGGAAGAGCAGCTCTTTAGTACCAAAGTAAAATGGCAGATGGAGTTGGTGGCCCAGGTAAGCCCCGTGTGTCCAATGAGGCCAGCTCTGGGACTTTGTCACCCAGATCCCTGCTCAATCTGCAGCTTCATTTCAGTGATAGAGCTGGACTCTGATGTGAAAGGCCCTGAGAGACTCTCTTGGTTTACCCTCACCCTTTAGTGACAATCAACTTTCCACTTTATTATCAAAGGTGCTACCTGCTTTGGGAAGGGAAAATTAATTATCTGTTAATTTGATACTCTCTTTAATTCCCCTCTGAGTTTCCTCACTTAGTGGTTTTTTTTTACCCTGTGGGTTTCTCACTTGTTAGCTTAGTGTTTATAGCTCAATAAGATATGCTGACATAAAAAAGCTAAAGCAGGTAAATAAATTTCCTTCTTTTGGGTTTCTCATTTTGGAGATGAAGCTGATTCGGCCTGGTACAGTAAAAAAATTCCTCACTGAGGCCGGGCGCGGTGGCTCACGCCTGTAATCCTAGCTCTCTGGGAGGCCCAGGCGGGCAAATAGCTCGATGTCAGGAGTTCAAAACCAGTCTGAGCAAGAGCGAGACCCTGTCTCTACTATAAATAGAAAGAAATTAATTGGCTAACTAATATATATATAAAAAAAAATTCCTCACTGAATAAATGGAAAGGTTTAAAGAAATACTGCAGGAAAAAAACCTGCTTCAGTGATAGCAAACTGCTAAGTTAGAAGACTGGAGAGAAATATTTTTTAAAAAATCCGTGTTTATAAAGTTTTTTTTCTTTTTTATTGAGATAGAGTCTCACTTTGTTGCCCAGGCTAGATTGAGTGCTGTGGCGTCATCCTAGCTCACAGCAACCTCAAACTCCTGGGCTCAAGCAATCCTCCTGCCTTAGCCTCCCGAGTAGCTGGGACTATAGGCATGCGCCACCATGCCCGGCTACTTTTTTCTCTATATATTAGTTGGCTAATTAATTTCTTTCTATTTATAGTAGAGATGGGGTCTTGCTCTTGCTCAGGCTGGTTTCAAACTCCTGACCTTGAGCAATCCACCCGCCTTAGGCTCCCGGAGTGCTAGGAATACAGGCGTGAGCCACTGCGCCTGGCTATAAAGCTGTTTAATCAAACAAGAGACTGGATTGAAAGTGAGAAACAAGCTTCCTCCTTTGGAAGAATTCAAAGCTAAGAGGAATAAACTTTCAGCCTCAACAACATACAGCTGTCAGTCTTCAGGGGCAAGGAATATTTTTCTCATTTTACAGATAGGGAGATGGAAGCAGAGAGAATCAGAGATTTGGAAAATATCTTTGGGTGAATATTTGTCAGAAAAAGAAATTAGGATTATTTGAAACTCTGTCCATTTAATTGTATATTGCTTAGAAAAGTCTCAGAAAAGCTATCATTTTTAGATATATGAACACACATGTGAAATAATTTATACCTAAGGTCATTCATTCATTGAACAGATTGGAAAAAACCTAAATATCCCATCAATTGGGGACCAGTCAAATAAGTTATGGTTAGTTTATACAATGGAATACCATGCAACCATTAAAAGGAGCAAGGTGTCTGTATGAATCAACAGAAAGAACTCCAAGATATACTAAGTAAAAAAATAATAAGACTCTAGACAATGTGTATAATATGCTAACTTTGCATATAAATATCTATCTATCTATCTATTTATCTAACTGTGCTTGTTTATATATGCATTCTACATCTCAGGAAGAGCACCCAGGAAACTAGCAACAGAAGTTGTTCCGGGGAAGGAAACTGAACAGCTCAAAGACACACTGTTTTATACTTAAAAATTTTTAAACTTTCTGAGTATATTTCAGATTCAAAATTTGATTAAAAAGACTAAAACTAAATGAAATGCTCTGTCACCTTTAATATGAGTTACAAATGCAATGACTAAACCGAGTGATGGAAACACAGGTGATAATACTTGGTGAGTGAACAAAACCAACCAAGGGACTGTAAATTCCAGTCCCAGCTCTGGTATGCTGGCCAAGTCATCTGCTCTTCCTGTGCTCATTCAGCTAATGAACATTTATTGAGTGTCTGCTGTGTGCCAGATGCTGTGCTAGGCACTGAGAGCACAGAGATGAAAGACCTATTTGTGGGATGCTCACTGACTTGTGGAGCAATGACAAGTCAGTATGCAATGCAGTGTGATAAATGTTGTGGCAGATTATGACAGGTTTCTGCCGGGCCTCATGGGAAGTGAAGCTAAATTAGGCTGGGAAGTTTTGTTTACCAGCAGACATAGCGCTAAATCTTGCAGTGAGGGAAGGTAGGACAATTCCAGGCAGAGGAAGGAGCACGTGCTGGTTGGGGGCAGTTTGGTGCAGGGGCCAGTGTGTGGATGATTTAAATGAGACACAGGCCAGATCTTGTGTGTTGTAGTTTGGAGTTTTAAAAAAATTGCATTTGTTATATTTTTCTATTTGTAAAAGAAATACATAGCTGGTGCAGGGAATTCAACCGGAAGGCCAATGGGGACATAGTAAATAATTTCAAGCAAACCAGTGATAGGACTGAGCTATATTTAGAAAGAGCACTGGCAGCAGTGTGGTATTATAGGACTGGCAGGTTTGAGGGAGAGTCACACTTTGTAAATACAAACTGCAGCACTGAAACCAGCATGTGACAGACAGTTTCCCAAGTGGCTGGGGTGCAGGTCCTGGAGTCAGACTGCTTGCACTGAAGTCCTAACTCCTACATTTCAGGCTGTGTAGACCATGGGTATTTCTTAACCCCTGAGCTTCAGTTTCTTCAACTGTATGCCCACAGCCACTAGACAAATGATCTTAGGTTCTCCTCTGTCGTAGGAAAACCTTCTGTTAGTCCTGCCCTCTGTCCTCATGTGCAGCACCCCAAATAAGCATGGCACTTCCAGGCCCACGCATGCCTTCTTAGGGAAGTGCAGGGAGGATGGAGGAGCATGGATGCAGGAGTCAGAAGAGGGGGTTCCAGCCTGCCTGGAGCCGGCTGCATGACTTACCGCTGAACCTCAGCTTCTCCATCAGTGAAATGGGAGCAATGACAAATATTGTACAGAGTTCCTGAAAGGCTTAACCAGGAACTGGGAAAATACATTTGGAAATTCTGTGTTACATACCATGTAATACACAAATATAAATGACCGATTTCAATACTTTCTCAATAATGGGAAAAAATCAGTATCTCATTTGAAAGTTTCAATTACAAGGCAGTACAACTTTTCTAGTGTATTAAAAAAGATCCCACATGTTTTTTTTTTTTAAAGAAAACTGACTTATGAAAATCATAAGATACACTGTATTATTTTTTTTTATATATTTTTTAAGACTAGTCAATGTATTATTTTTATTTTTTATTTTTTTTGAGACAGAGTCTCGCTCTGTTGCCCAGGCAAGAGTGCTGTGGCGTCAGCCTGGCTCACGGCAAACTCCGGGGCTTAAGCAATCCTTCTGCCTCAGCCTCCTGAGTAGCTGGGACTACAGGCATGCACCTGGCTAATATTTTCTATATTTTTTGTTGTCCAGTACTTTCTTCCTATTTTTTAGTAGAGACAGGGTCTCGCTCTTGCTCAGGCTGGTCTCGAACTCCTGACCTTGAGCGATCCTTCCGCTTTGGCCTCCAAGAGTGCTAGGATTACAGGCATGAGCCACATGTGTGTTAATAACACATGTTGTTATATTAACATTTAAGATCTATTATCAAATCTCTGCTCCCCCTCAGGTTCTGAAGCCAGAACAAAGAGGTACAATTAATTCTTCACAGGAACAGAACAGACAGACCTCATCAATATCCAATATTGTGGGTTTTGCACTTTGAATCCTAGCTCCCTTTGCTGCCAGCCAGGTGACTGATCATCTCCAAGCCTCAGTTTCCTCATTTGCACAGTGGGGATCTGCACACTTACCAGGAAGCGTGATTGGAAGTTTAAATAACGTTTAGTACGGGAGGCACCATGCCCTTAGTAGGGACCAATGATGTTTGTTCCTTTCTGCCTTACAAATTGAGTCCTTAATAGATGTGAATATTCTTTGAAAATTATTTCATGTAATTCTCACCTCACTGTTGAGAGACAGGTTTGGAAATCCCAGTACTATTATTTCTGTTTTGTTAAAGAGGAAACAGAGTCCCAAAAGTGTTACCAGGTCACTTAGAAAAGCCCTGCAAGGCTTCCCAACTACTCATATGACACTTTAATATAGATAATATTCCATTTAATTCTGAGCTTCATACTTTTGGAAATAGACTCAATGTTCTGAATATTTTCCCTGGCAATATTATTCAAGTGTCCTGAAATCATTAAATCTTGAAATCAGGCCAGGTGTGGTGGCTCATGCCTATAATTCTAGCACTTTGGGAGGCTGAGGAGGGGGAATCACTTGAGGCCAGGAGTTGAAGACCAGCCTGGACAATAGTGAGACCCCATCTCTACAAAAAAAAAAATCCAGGAATAGTCGTGCATGCCTATAGTCCCAGCTACTTGGGAGGCTAATGCAGGAGGATCACTTGAGCCCAGGAGTTGGAGGCTGTAGTGAACTAGGATGATGCCACTGTACTCTAGCCCAGGCAACAGAGTGAGAGAGACCCTGTCTCAAAAAAAAAAAAAAAAAAAGATTAGGCCGGGCGCGGTGGCTCACGCCTGTAATCCTAGTTCTCTGGGAGGCCGAGGCGGGCGGATCGTTTGAGTTCAGGAGTTCAAAACCAACCTGAGCAAAAGCGAGACCCCGTCTCTACTATAAATAGAAAGAAATTAATTGGCCAACTAATATACATAAAAAAAAAATTAGTCGGGCATGGTGGCACATGCCTGTAGTCCCAGCTACTCCGGAGGCTGACGCAGCAGGATTGCTTGAGCCCAGGAGTTTGAGGTTGCTGTGAGCTAGGCTGATGCCACGGCACTCACTCTAGCCTGGGCAACAAAGTGAGACTCTGTCTCAAAAAAAAAAAAAAAAAAGATTAAAAGAAAAAAAATCTTGAAACCAGCTTGTGATCCCTCTACAACTTTCCTACCAAGTGATCAACAAACTACATTTAAATGATTCTAGGGACAAGAACTTATCTCCTAAGGCAACCTACTCATTCTTTGGGCAATGTCTTAAGCCAAGTATTATTTCTCTGTTGGTTCCATTCATGGAAATCCAGGCCATTTCTCTCTAATGTGATCACAAGATTCAGCGGCATTGATAGCCACCTTCCACTTGGTGGGATGTACCCACACCAGTCCACATGAGTGAAGCCTGGGACTGGCCTCAAAACAGGTAGGGGCTGCTCTAAGTCCAGGCACATCTGGCTCTGTGCCCACGTTCAAGCTGGTTCCTCTACCCTGCATCTGAGGGCACTGTGTACTGTCTGTGTGATGGCTGTGAGGTGGAAGCTTATTTCTCATTCTTCAGATCTTCTAGGCATAACATATATACCCTTTGATGTCAATGTGGAGTCTAAGTATATTCGATTCTGTATCTGGCATTAATAGGCATTATTGCTATTTTCTCCCCTGCTATTATGAGCTAACCCTGATAATTTAAAAAGTTCCTGAAAAAAAAATGCTATTCTAATTCATTCATCAATTACCATTTCTTTTTGAAAAACAGATTTTTTTTACAAACATGGCTCAATTTTTAAATAAACCCAGATGTACTCTGGATCAATCATGTTTCCCCAAATCTATGCCTGATATAAACAGATCACCCTATATAATAGGCTAATAGTGTTGCCTTCTGTATTGTAAAGAGGTCCTTAAATTTAAGGAGGATTCCACATAAAATAAATGGGAAATGAATGAGTCTCTCCCACAGCACGCTGAGCCTGCCTCTGCTTTAACACTGTGTCGATACTGTTTCATTGTGGGTCTTCTTCTTAAATTCTAGGCTCCTCAGAGGGCCAAGGAGGGAGATGATTCATCTCCGTATCCTCAGTGCCTAGCACAGTGTCTGATACACAGAGAATGCTCAACGTATGTTGGTCGAAGGGAACTGAATGATCACTGAGAGAGAAAGCTTTATACTGGTGCCACAGGACTCGGGTGGGAGTGGAGGGAAGGGCAAAGTTCTATGGGATCAGAAAATCTTCCTGCAGTGGACTGAATGTCTCCACAGGGATGGGATTTTCTAGGAGGAGGAGAGCTGGCTGCTTAGCTAACATGATAGGCAGTGTTTTGATTGGACAGGGCTCAGGTGGGTCTGCAGTGAAGCTTTACAGTGGACTGTTGAGAGCATAGGCACCGGAGCTGGGCTGCCTAACTCCAAATCGTGTTTCTGCCATTTACCAACTGAATGACATTCAGGAAGTTACTTAACCTCTCAATGTCTTAGTTTTCTCATCTCTAAAATGAGGTAATTCTACCTGCTTAGATTCATTCTGTGAATTAAATAAGTGCATGTGTATAAAACTTAGAACAAAGTCAGGTATAATAAGGCAGAATAAGTGCCCAGTAATGTTAACAATTGTGATCATTTGCATCTCTCTCCATTCTCTTTTTCTGCCTTGATCTTTCTTATCTCCTACCCTCATCCCATGTAATGTGCAATGCTTCCCACATGCAGCAGGCAAAAATGCATGAAATGCCCTGTGGACAAGCAGGAAATACATGGATGAATGTATAGAAGGAGTTGGTTTCTGCACAGCTCCAGATGTGGAGGACAGCCTGTGTGCTTTTCTCTGTTTGAACTCACCACCTTTGTCTGTACTACCCTGGTACTGTGTTGTCAATAAGTTCTATCTAGGGATACCTGTTAACATTGAACATTCCCAAGAGATGGTATAGTCTTTTGGGCAAAGACTGGTCTTGGCATAAGAAAGCCAAGTGTGTGCTTCGTGAGTCCTGTGGAAGCAGACTGAGCTACTATTTCTGTGAATCTCCAGGAGGGTGGACTGGAACGTGGGCCTTAGGGTGACAACACTTTTCCTTCCACAGTGCTGTGCCCGAACTGCTGAACAAAAAAGTGTAACACAAAAGCATCTTGGGCACTAAATATACAAACAATTATTGTAAAATTCCTCTCTCTGAATTCTGCAGTTCTTAGATAGTCCATAAACATATTCTTATCTCATTTCCTTAGCAATTATCACCTTTGAACATGCTAGACACTGTGCTTGTTTATTATGTATCTTTTCTGCTGTGGGCCCTGTCCTGGAGCAGGGAAGGGATTTTGATCTGTTTTGTTCATTGCTAAATCCCAAATGCCCAGAAAGTACCAAACACATGGTAGGTTGCAGGTGCCCAAGTATTGGTTAAGTGAATGAATAGTGATTATGATAATATCTCTTCTCCAAAATTACCAATCATAATTCTTCAAGTCCTAAGGAAATAACTAGACTATTGCTAAGAATAAAAGAGATAGTTTCACTAATATCAGTAATGGAGCATGGCAATATTTTTTTTAATACCTGTAGCAAACCTCTTTCATGTTGCTGCCCAGAATCATTTTTTTTTTGCTATAGAGAAAGGGGTCTTGCTCTCTTGCTCAGCCTGGAGTGCAGGGACTATTCACAGGCAGGAACATAGCACACAGCAGCCTCAAATTCCTGGCCTCAAGTGATCCTCCTGCCTTAGCTTCCCAAAATTAGCTGGGACTACAGGCACCTGCCACCATGACTGGCTCTTCTTGTCATTTAAATGCTCCCTTTTCCTTTGTCAGACACCTTTCCTCTCTCTGTTCTCAGTCACTGTGGCTCCAGGGTGGGCCAATGACATTTCATTTGGGTATGGACAAGTGACTCAAGTTGGTTCATATTCAGTTCTGTAATAACCAGGGAAAGAGAAGCCAGTGGCCAGCTTGCCACCACTGGGGAAGAACCTATTTAAGAGGAAGTCCTGGCAAGCAGAGCCCAGTCATGGAGAGAGACAGATTTGGGGCAAATGTATGACTCTTAAAGCCCCACCTTGCAGAATTGGTATTGGGGCAGCCCAGAGAAGGTGTAACCTGAGAACTCTGGATTAGCTAGTTAGGAGGGTGAACCTTGTGACCTCCAAAGACCCTGCCAGTCCACAGCACTAGATAGCATCACCATCATGACCTCTGCAAGTATTTGGTCTCTTCTCCCCTTTTCTGTCTTTCTGAGTCACCTCTTATCAAGGGCCTGGGATCTTGTCCTCTAAGGTAGTATGAAAGGATTGAGTCCATGGCCATTTATTTTTAGTTCAGTAAGCTCTGAGGAGGCCAAAGAATGGGTGGAAAAAGGACCTTAAACCAGATGGCTGTGGGATGAAAAGGACAGGTCAATTCACAGAGCATTTAATGAGCACCTTCCATGTGCCAGGTGCTGTGCTCGATGCTGGGGTGGGAAGGTGTATTGCAAAGATGGACAAATGCCGTACTCACTACAGGAACTCTCAGTGCCTTTCACTAGAAATGCAGCTGAGCTTGGGAGATCAATAAACTCTTAGAGAACAGAAAACAAGACCAGATATCCAGAAGAGAATCTGCAGTTGGCTTCTAAATAGTTAACTCAAGAATTAATCTTTTTCTACAGTAGGAATATCAACTCTACCAAGTCACAGTGGTAAAACAGTAACAAGTATTTTAGCTGCTGTCAAGATAAAATGAATTATATTTGCCTGTTTTATGAGGTAGTTTAAAGTTATTCTTTCTTCTCTCTGTTTCCTGTCCCCCACCACCCAAACCAGACACCCAGCTGGTTTGTCCCTGATGGCTGGCTGTGATTACTGTCCTAATTTGTTCTTTCTTCATCTGCTACAAACTGCCTATTTTCTGTCCCTTCTGATAATGCAGGAGCTCTGAGGGACTTCTGAGGCTGTTTTTGTACCATGCAGAAGTATATTAACTGGAATTCCTGTGTATGTGTCTATAAAACCCCTCGTCTTCCCAGTGTGATATCACCTTCAGGAACGGCGTCATGTCGATGTGCAGCTTGCGCGTGTAAAATTCTTTTCCGTTTGAACATATCAGCCCTTTATTTATACAACTTTGAGGCTCTCCTGTCTTCTGAGCTGCTGCCTCCAAGGACTGCTGGGCTCCCTGTGAAGAGAAGCAGAAAGCCCAAACTTTCATAGGAATGACATACAGTGCAACCAACACTAGTCCAAATCCCCAAATATTTATAGAAAGCAATTTTTAATCATTGGAACAATAATAGTAAGAACAATTTTTACCATTGAAGAAACATGGGACGTATATATAGAGAGAATAACCCGAAACTGGTTATTAATTAATACCTGGGGAAGTAGGAAAAGGGACCTTCCTAGGTCTCGGCTGTATTTCATTTAACCCTCACAACAACCCTGTGAGGCAGGCACTGTGACTCCCATTTCACAGATGAGCAAACTGGGAATCTCTGGCAGGTTAAACAATTTGCCCAAAGCCATTTAGCTGGCATATGGCAGAGCTGAAATCACCATCTGCCCATCTTTTTTAATGAGATATTTTTGATACTTCTAAAACTTCCGTGAGTGCTTATCAAATCTGCCTTGCAACAAATGCGGTTATAGCAAGATTCCAGTTGATTTCCAAGCTGAAAGTGTATTTGATGTGTTAGGGAGAGTGATTTGAAGAAATGTAGCAGAGAAGGAAGGAAAAATGGGCTAACAGAGGAATCTGGGAGGCCCTGAGGGCTCTCTGAGCCTTTGGGCCACCTCAACACGCGAAGGCATCAGGTTTCAGAATACTACAAAGTTGGAGCTGACGTTGCCCTCTAGCCTGGGCCCCGCCCCAACCTGGCGGAGCTCTGCAAGAGGCACACTGGACCACGTCACTCCTCTGCCTAAAACCTTTGAAGGCCATTGCCCTCAGGATGAAGGACAACTGGTTTAAAAGGTTAACAAGGCCCTTCCTGCCTGAAGCTGCACTCACTCTCCTGCCTCATTCTGTTGCTTAACAAATACTTGTTGGGTGCCCATTCCAGGCCAGGCAGAGCGGACACGGCAGTGCAGCAGCAGAGGGGTCTCCGCCTTCATGGAGCGTGGGATGTCCGTTCCGCTGAGAGGGAGGTGAGGATGAGCAAGGAAGTGGAGCCTAAGTTATGTCTGAAGGTGATTTGTGATATGGAGAAAAACAAAACAGAAACAGGGTTGAGGGAGTAGCTGGGGATGGAAGTGGAGGCTGCATTTTTAAGCAGGGGAGTCCAGGAAGGCCCCACGAGAAGGTGATGTTTGAGCAAAGCTCAGAAGAGGGTGAGGGAAGTTTCCAAGGGGCTATCTGCAGGAAGTGTTTCCCCCACTGTGGGAAGAGCACGTGCAAAGGGCTACCGTCAATACTGGCACTTCAGTTGCTGGAGCAAGGCCTGCACATGGGCCCTTCCCTCTCCTGGGAGCTCTCTCCCCTCTTCTGGCTCCTCCTCATCTGTCAGGGGTGGCTCCTCTGTGCTCTGTGACCTCCCAGAGCACTGAGCACTTCCCACCATGGCCCACAGTGACTGCTCAGGCCTGTGCAGCCATCTCTCCTTCCTCTAGATTGGACACTCCTGGCAGGCAGGAACCACAGCTGCCCTCTTGCCCTGGTCACAGCCTGTCTGGCTCAGGGTCTGGAAACCAACACACACTTGAGACATATTTGCTGAACAAAAGAGTAATGAACATACAAGTGAATGACATGGGGCAAGGGCAGGACAAGCTACATGTTACAGGCCACTGTGGTTTATTTTTAATTTTTTTCTTTTGAGACAGAGTCTCACTTTGTTGCTCACGCTAGAGTGAGTGCCATGGCGTCAGCCTAGCTCACAGCAACCTCAAACTCCTGGGCTCAAGCAATCCTCCTGCCTCAGCCTCCCAAGTAGCTGGGACTACAGGCATGCGCCACCATGCCCGGCTAATTTTTTCTATATTTATATTAGTTGGCCAATTAATTTCTTTCTATTTATAGTAGAGATGGGTGTCTCGCTCTTGCTCAGGCTGGTTTCGAACTCCTGACCTCGAGTAATCCACCCGCCTCTGCCTCCCAGAGTGCTAGGATTACAGGCGTGAGCCACCGTACCCGGCCGGCCACTGTGAGTTAAACGAGGAGTGGCAATGAAGACACCTTTACCAGAAGTATTTGTTGACCTCCAGAAGCCTGTCCTCTGTGTAGCACTGGTTCTTCATTCCCAAAGAGAAAAGTTATTTATTATTTTTGGGACCAATTTGCTGGGGTCACATACATTAATGTGCCATGAGATCACCCTGGGTGTGGATTTGATCATTTCCATATTTTCTAGGAGACTCTCAGAGGTCCGTCTCCCTGGGCAGGCATAAACTCTCCCTCCCATAAGATTTATATCTCTTTTAAGCACTAATGATGAATTAACAGTTGGTGGGTCCCCATAAGCAGCTATCATTCCAAGGAACACCCACACCCTTTTCCTTTGTTTTGAAATGTGGCTAGAGATGAAGATTTTTGTGGACAAATATGTATCCAATTTTTTGTCATCAGCCATATATCTGATTAGCTTCTCAGGGTGAGATGGTCCTTCCTCATTGCTAGATCAAATGAAAGCATTAGGTCCAAGCTAGCATCAGACAAAGCATTTCAAGCTTTCTAGCCTCCACAATCATGCATGAATCACCGGATGGAATAATAGAAATAAGACAATACTGATTTGAGGGAAATTTTTCCATTATCCCCAGGAGAAGGTTTCATGTTAGGCTGGAGGACAAAAGGTATAGCCGAGGCCGGTTCCAACGTCTGGAATTACTTTAACTGCTTATGTGGGGCTCAGATTGAAGAGTGGGGAGTTGAGAGGCTTTGGGAAAAGTCTCTCCAAGCCACTTGACTTATAAATCTTTTGATGAAACAATTCTCTTGACTGTATGGCTCATCTCTCTAATGTTCAGGGGCCATCAATTCTAGCTTGATGGAATGTTTTCAGTGAAGGCTCTATAGCCACTGGAATGTGAAGTACAGTTTTTGCTTATTATGTTCCAGTGTTCTGACAAATAAATGATGGTGAAAGTGGGCTCCCGAGATGGGAGGAAAGAAAAGATTAAACAGAGAGGATTCTGGGAGGCAGTGATAAGAGGAGAAGAGTTAAGAATTTGAAACCAGGAAAGAAAGTCATGTGCTTGGGTGGTTTTTCATTTATTCATTGAACTGGTATTTACTGAGTGCCTATTATGTGTCATACAAACAAGCACACAAATAACCTTGATGATTGTAGATCGTGACTACTCTGTGAAGACAATGCAATGGTGACAGGTTAGTGACTTGCCTCGGGTGGTCAGGGAAGGCTTCTCTGAGGAGGTGACATTTGAGCAGAGAGCTGGATGACAAGTTGGAGCCAGCCCGGGATGGATCTATCTTTAGCAGTCACGGTAGCTGCTATCTCTGTGCTCTGATTATTTGGAGGTAAACCCAGGCAGGGGATCTTTGAAAAGGAAAGTAGAATTCCTCCTTTCTAGGCCTGTTCTGCCCACGCTTCTGGGCTCCATCCTGACCCTGGGAGCTACCCCTCTGTTTTCTGAGTGGTAGAGCCATCAAAACTGACACTTGCAGCTCTTGGGTATGTTGAGAACAAAGACAGGAGAATAAATAGTAATCATGAGTCAAGGTCTCTAAAGGTGTAGGAGGGAGAAGAAAACACAAGGTTAAATGGAAGGGAAGGAAAATGGGGGAAATGGAAGAAAGCAGAGATGCCAGAAGCTATTTTGTTTCTTTTATGTGCGCACTTTGGTGGAAATGATTAAAAAACTGATGGAAGGGTGAAATGTTTAGCAGAAAATCAAAACCTATCCTTTCACTTACGCTGTACTGTAAACACTTTAATATTTTTATGTTCTGTTAAAAACACCTGGAAGCCTTTCTCTTTAATAAACGAAACAATAAAGATTAATGAGTTAATTTGGTAAAGCTGATTTGAGTTGCACAGAAGGCATTTCGTAAGTACTTGGCATTTAAAAAGTTATCTGACATTTAAAAGGAGATGACTGTTAATGAATTCAAGAGCTAATCTTATACTCTGACAGAGGGAGCCATGGAAAATCCAGGATTATTATCTTGCTGTAAACACAATGTGATTGAGTTGAGCTATCAAAAAAAAAAAAAGAGCTATTGGCTATATACAAATATCTATACTCACATGCATATATAATGTAGCAAAACTTACAGAGGCTGTTTGTTAAAATTAAATAAATATCTTATCATTTCCTTTCTTACTTTTGGATTATAATATCTGAGCTACAGACTCAGGGAGAAACCCTTCTCTCCAATAAGTTTTCCTCCTCCTTTCAACTTGTGTACTTTGAAGGGTCACCACCATGGGTTGGCTCCACAAACAGATGTTGGCACATTTAATCTTAAGAAGGAGATGAGATTCTAAACCCAAGCAGCTACATCTCCACCCATGGGTCCCACAGAGCCACCAAAGATAGGGATCCATCCCATAGGTGTCCCTCAGGCCCTTCTTAATATTGCTCCCACTCCTTTCTAATTGGGGTTCCCCATCTTTGTAGCTGTGGTTTAATGATTCCAAGAAGAGCTATTGTCCCTCATTAAGGAGGCTGCAACACTCTTGCTGTCTAACTGCCTCCCACGCAGCTCACAACTTCATTCTGCCTGAGAGCAAGCTGCCAAAAATCTCCGGGAACCTGTGGGCATGCTGAGCTAAAGGAAGGAGGGTCTTTGTAGCCAAGATCTGAACCATGCTAGGGAGGGGACACACTCCAGCATTATCTTAATGCATGGAGAGCAGGTAGGGGAGCTCTTTGCTGAAGCCCTTAGGGGTCTATCAAGTTATCACATCAAAACTGTGTGCACATGGGGCATCTGTCCCCTCCTGTGAGCAAACAAAAGAAAGAGTCAGTATCTCCCACTCACCACCAGGCCCCCTGCTTGGCTGACAGTCTGTCCCTCCACTTCTCTGAATCCCAGTGGGGATGGAGAGATGGGAGAGATTTAGTCACTGCAGGTGCAGGAGAAGGAGGGCTGGGACTCCGAACTTTCCCCTGCTCCTACCCTCTGTTGGGGTTGGCAGGTACTAAATCCTGGAAGGGGCCATTCATGCCAGGAGCAAAGGGCCTGGCAAGTTTCCTGTTTTTCGCCTTCTCGGTCCT